TTATGTTGTCTGTGACATGATTTTCAAATAATTTCAGAGAAGCTCAAAATGATTCCCCAAAATAATTTTTACATAATATGAAAGTTTTTTGCTTGTAGTGTTTTCACCTTCAGTCTTAAAAAATTCTGATCAAAGGCACATGATGAAAATCGTCGCTTTTTTCAACTAATTCTCGTGCGTAAACAACAGGTAGCTGTACGCTTTAGCTTTTTATAATTACTCAGATTGTTGTAATTCTAAAAATATTATATATCTGGGCCAACGACGAGTTATACTTAAAATTTTAGCAATATATCTTCGTCTTTTCGCACTCGAGTTATATCGCACGTTGAGCGTGACACCTAGCACACTAGCTGGGAGGCTTATAGAATATGCCATAAAATATGCACATATCCGTGAGATTGGTGACTCGCTTAGCGTGTCGTGTCATTGCACGCGTTCTAGTACCTTACTCTCTGTTTTCCCGTGAAGGGTCACAAATATTCCCTTTCGATGGATAGCAGTTTTTAATTTTGATTGTGAACTTTGCCCTCTGCATGCGACGCTTTAATCAGTTTTTACAAAAGCAGGCGATTTAACTCAACGTAATAATTAAATCGGATCACAGATGAATAAGGAGAGAATATCAATCAGTTTTTTCTAACTATCTCTTCAAGTGGCGTGAAATTGTTCTCTTTCCCCTTTTTACTTTTTTTAGCAAAGGTTGTGTAGCTTTCAAAATTTGTGTAATAGAATAACAGAACTGATAAATATTTCGTCAAAACGGTTTTAAAAAGCCCAATGCCATTATTTTTTCCACACTAATTTTAGTATTCTAGTCAACCTTCTCGGTTGATCTAAGCAGAAACATTATTCATTGTATATTAAATCGGATTGCAGAAAAATCGACCTGTTTTTTTCAACTATTTCTTCAAATGACATGAAATCGTTGATTGTCTCTTTAATATAGAAATGGTTTTGTGTCAAGCCCATTCAAACGCACTTGTTCAGATCAAATCAAATTTAAGGAGTTATCTTTTAACTTTGGCATTGAAGTTAGTTTAGTAAGTAGGAGACAAGGTAAAGGTAGTTCAACAAGGATGAAGACTGGTGAAAAGCCCTCTGAACGGCCCTGATGAAGGAGGGGGATTGTTTCGCCCGATCCCGAAAAAAAGCAAGGAATATTGCTGCCGATACTTTATGTCCACTCCCTTAGGTGCTCTCATGCAGCGAAAAAGATAAAGGCAACGCTCGTACTTGTGGCACTGCTTTCCCTTGATACCACAAATTCGTGCCCTGTATTAGCGGGGTGCCGGCCAGAAATCACTTCGGTATGTACTCATGTAACATATTTTTCGCTAACCAGTTGCCGTGTACATTTTGAATTCGCATATAACCCATAATCCAGGGTGTTTCGATAAATTTGCAAAGAGTTATGAGCAGTCTTAACTCTTTGTAGCGACCTTGTTTACATTTAATTTCAGTTCCTAACCGTTGCTTTTTTTGCTTAAACGAACCAAAGGTAAAAAGAGGAAGCAGAATTGTAGCGTCTATTTGGCTTCCTCAGTAGAGATGTAAGTCAGTTGCTGCTATTAGGGATTTCAGTTAATGTAAATCACTGTGTAGGTTCTGAGTTATTTATTTTTGTGCTAAAGTCACAGTTTTTCAAAATTCATGTCTCAATTTTATAAGGATGAACAATTTACTCGCTTAATGTCCATTAACTAGGGAGAAGGACAATTACACAGTTGATCATCAATGCTTTTTTTTTTTTATTTTTCAACTGACCTGATTCATATTACAATAATGTCAGAGGTAATGAGGTAATAAAAACAGTGCCATCCCAGTTACAAAGGGTTAACATGAGCCACAGCAGTTTCTTCCAGCAGGACCTTTTTATCTTCAATGTCGGTCCTCGTAATGCGATGTTCTACGACGTGGTTCTGAGGCAGCGTGACCGGCTCCTTTGTTCTGTACAAAAGGAAAAAAATACTTATAAAAATACAAAATATGTGTGTTTACGCGTTGGGTTTTTTACTTGTTTTATTAACATCAATGCTTTTGAACTTTGCATTTACAGTGAAGTTCAGCAATTACTCGTATTAATAATGATTATTTTTCCCTGAACATCTTTTACTAAGAAATACAGGGAAGGGAACGTTCTAAGCTTTAAAGGATATTATAATAAATAACTTTTAGTATCTTGTGGAGAATCTTATTCGATCCCAAACATTTTATCGACAAGAGAAATTAGTGTTAAGCCGTTTTCTCAATGCCTTTTTCATCTTAGCGTTCTCTTCGGTTGCTTTTATGCCCTTAAAACACAGAAGATGAGATCCAGATGCTCAAAAGGAATGATATTCAACCGTTGGAGCTGTTACAGAGACAGAATACTTACTTGTAAGAAGTGTGAAACTGGCAACTGTGATAACCGCCCCCTTTGAGTTGAAGGAACATAGTTACATCACCTCTCAATATATTGTTGGAGACGGTCATTTTCTCAAAGGAAGGGTCCCAGCCAATTGTCCTCTTTTGCATTATGGGTCCGTTAGCGGGAAAGTTAACGCCATGAAACATGGATGTGTGCTTAAACCAATTCCCCTCAAGACTGTATGATTAAGAAAATTTGAGATATGAATTAAAATATGTAAAATTAATCTTGTAACTGTGTCACATATCTAGAGTGCAATGTACTCTGTAGAATAATGCTACAACGTTTTTCAAACTTAATCCATTTTCTCACAGGTGCCTATTTCAAGATTTAGCAGTCTGCATATTCTCTGGTCGCTATGCTTTTTGTGTACGTTTGTTCTCCTGTAGCTAGACAAGAAGCGTTCTCGGGATAATCACAACTAAGTTACACTTTCAAAAAGGGCGCTCCCTTCTCCGTGTAAAAAATGACCTTGAAGATTAATTTTAAAGAGTATTATGTCAATCCGAGACTAATCATCACTTTTATACCAAATGTGTCCACTGGCTGTAG